TATTAATATATATATAAATAAAATGACTAAATGCATTTAAAGACCCATTCAGAGATGCTAATGAGTCTTTTTTTTCTTTTCGTCACTGTGTGTAGGGGACCTGTATGGGGCCATTGGATCACCAGTGCGGCTGTCGAGGACAGTGGTGGTGGGCCGGAGACAGGAGCTGGTCCAGAGACTCCTCTATGTCCTCACCTACTTCATCCGCTGCTCTGAGCTGCTGGAGACCACATGCTGGACAGTGCTGAGGATGAGGCCATCGTCATGCCCGGTTCCCTTATCACCACCTCCTAAGGAAAGGAGAGGTGGAGGAGTCGGACTATGTCTTTGTTACTGTCCATAAACCCAGTGAGGACTACTTGTCCACGGGTGCCATGGCCGTCAGACTGAGGCAGAGGACAGTAGTTATCCTTCAGACAATAGCCTCCAGAGCAGCAATATACAGATGCTGAGGTGGAGCATGGCGCTGGGAATACACCCAAGGAGGAAGATGAGGATGAGGAAGACGAGGAGGACAGCAGCGAGAGTCAAGGGTCTAGAAGCAGTGTGCTTCAGACGGGACACAGTCAGGGCACAATTCCCATTATCAGGACTGCAGAAGCAGCTGAACCTGGGGAGCTGCGCAGGGAGTCTAGCAGCCCGCTTGGTACAGAGGCACGAGTGGAGACAGTGCTGCGTGTTGGCTCGGCTTCCCCAGGGAGCAGGTCTGTGTGCTGGATACAGAGACCAAAGGTGACCTGAAACTTATTGTCCCATCCATACCACAACCCTTGCATCAAGTCCGTCCCCACCTCCCACCACAGAGCGTAAAAACTCTTGGACAGATGCTGGGATGGATGCAGGGATGGGGAACCAGGCCACCAAAGTGCTGGTTCCTCGGTCTTTGGGAATCCCCTAGAGAAGAAGCCCCCAGATAAGAACCTGGCCCGCACAGTGCCAATGCCAGTAATAACGGAAACACCATGACAGGGCCCATGGCTTTGACTCTAACAGAAGAGGAGGAGCCAGCAACGAAAGTCACTTTCCTAATTGGAGACTCATGTCTCTGACTCGGACACGGAGAGCCGCAGAAGGAAGGTGGAGGAGGAGATTAAAAAGCACAAGAAACACCTCAAGGACAAACTTCACCCGCAGCTGCTCTTGCATCAGCAACAACAGCATCATCAGCGTTATCAACAGCAACCACAGCAGCTGCAGAGAGGAGCAGATTCAAAGACCAGCAACACCAGTGCATCAGAGGACCAACCAAACAGACCAAGGTGGCTCCAGCCCTGCAGCGGGTATCTAGTAAAGATGCCCAGTGGACCCAAACTGTATGGATGATTTTGATGAGTATTTCAGCTTGGAGAACCCCGTGGAGACAAGGACAATAGACGATATGGCCAAACGTCAGGAGCCCACTACCACGGACAGTATGCACAAAGACTTGCTGGACCCCTCGGGAGGCCCCCGGCCTGGTGACTTGGGCAGTCACAGCTTTCAGGGTGGAGTGAGAGTCAGGGTTTGGGTCTCTGTTTAGGTTCAGGTAGAGGAGAGGTGGGGTCCAGCAGGAAGGGAGACACCTTGTTGGATGTCCAGAGGAGATGCAGGTGTGGGTCTACAGACTCCTCCGACACATGTTGCTGTAGGGGCTGTTCTGTTGAGCAGGATAAGGGCCTTGTGTTGTCAGTCCTCGTGGATGGAAGCAGCACAGCAAAGAGGACCAAAAACGCAAGGTGGTTCCTGTCAACGACTGGAGATACCACGCAATGAGAGCTCAGACAGCGCGTTGGGGGACAGTGAAGTGAGGAGAAACAGAGGACTGGAGGAGGAAGTGCTCGTGCCCTTCCCTGGTGTGAGTAGAGGAGCTGCACTGTTATGAAGTGGAATTCAGTATTTATATCAAGTGCTTTGGTTGTAACCAGTAATATCATAGTAATATGATAGTAATTGCAGGGGATATGTGAGAATAACATTTTATATTCATCGTTTTGAAACAAAAAAATAAATAACTCATGTCATATGTTTGATTTACAGAGCAAAGTTGGTGGAGAACTATTCAAAGCCAAGCATAGCCAATTTTGGTCGGTCTCTGTTTGGAGGCTACTGCCCCACCTACGTGCCAGACTTTGTACTGCATGGGATGCCTAGTGACGAGAAACTACGGCAGAGCCTCATGGCTGAATTAACCCATGCTGTTCAGGTAAGTATTTGGACCTATTCTTAGGGAGATATACTTTCTCATTGCAATATAGAACACAGAATTTTGAGTATTGCCATACCCTTTTTAGAGCCATGAAATTATATTCCTTACATACACACATAGATACATACACATGTAAGGAATCTGGTTTTCCTTTATGTATGCATTTCATGGTTTGATTGACTGTTCTTGTCCTCTATAGCATCCAGTATTGGATGAGCCCATAGCGGAGGCCGTCTGCATTATAGCAGACACAGACAAGTGGACAGTGCAGGTGGCCAGCAGTCAGAGACGAGCAACCGATGTCAACAAGCTGGGGAAGGAAGTCCTGGTGTCCAGCCTGGTTTCCAGCTTGTTGCAGTCCACTCACCAGCTCTACAAACTCAACCTCTCACCCAACTTTGTAGGTTACACCTCTCATGTTGGTGCTGTAATGTGACACAGAAAGACTTTCTGTTTTAACCACTGATCAATTTGCCTGTATACAGTGATCACTTTGTTTCTTCTGCTTTACCAACCATACCCCTGTCTCTCTCCTCCTCCTCTTCAGTGTATAATGCACCTTGAGGACCGCCTGCAGGAAATCTACTTTAAGAGTAAGATGCTTGCTGAGTATTTGAAGGGCCAGACGAGAGTCCATGTGAAAGAACTGGGCATGGTCTTAGGGTAAGTAGTCAACTTTTATTCTAATGTCACAGGTGCTGAATAGCTCTACCTCAAAGTGATGAGTTCATTACATAATGAAAAACCTATCTCTAGTAATCTGGAGAAAGAGTCGAGGACACCAGATGAATCTATAGAACAAGTTTTAAGCTGAGTTATCTGGAGCTGGAGCTCTATTCAAAGTACAAACAACAATTGAAATTTAAGTAAATTTGCCAGGCAAATCTTTAGACCAGATACGTGGATTCAGTCCAAGTCAGATCTGTAGCTGCATCTGTGCTGCAAAAAATAATGTCACACATTTACTCTTTTGGTGGTAAACAAATACACATTCAGTGCAACGTGAAGTCACAGTGACCATTGCCTCAGGGTTTATGGCCAGAAGAGAGTTATGTTGAATTGATCTTATGTCATTTTCATTTTGGTACTTCAATACCGTGTTCTGATCTTTGCTCTTGTTTCTTGTTTCTGCTTTTTGCAGAATCGAGTCAGCGACCTTCCCCTGTTAGCTGCAGTGGCCAGCACTCACTCCCCCTATGTGGCTCAGATCTGCTATGAGACTGTAAAGACAACTGAGGTCCAAGCAGCCCGAGGAAATCAGTCAGACCTGGGTGGTGCCACTCAAAAAACGGCCGTCCACGCTCCGCAGCTGACCCCCGACATGGTTTCCTGTCCCGTGTGCCTGGGCTCAGTGGGATCTTTGCCTTGAGCCTGAGTGGTGCACGTCTTTACGGACCACAGCCAGCACCACCCCTCACTACCACTGCTGCTGAATTTGGTGCAATGCTGATGTTGCACCACAGGGTGGGGCTAGAGACCACAGACCTAGAGATGGAGTGAGGCTCTGTGGATGACTGAAGCATCCTCAAATGACCTTCTCCTGTTGTTTTGAATGTTTCTTTTTAAAAACAGGACTTGTTTATTTTTGGACACAAAAGCCAAAGACTTTATTCATTTTCCCAGGTAGAAATGAAGTATCCAGCATGATCAGTTTAATTCTCAGCCAACAGAGATATGAAAAATACAAAACTTAAGAACAAACTAAGATATGAATAAATATAAATATTAACAGCTGATTTTAGGTAATCAAGTACAACACAGTGGTGACTATACTGTATGGTCAGGAAATAAACCTAACAATGTAAATAAAAATGACATGTATTATATTATATATATATATATATATATATAAATAAAATGACTAAATGCATTTAAAGACCCATTCAGAGATGCTAATGAGTCTTTTTTTCTTTTCGTCACTGTGTGTAGGGGACCTGTATGGGGCCATTGGATCACCAGTGCGGCTGTCGAGGACAGTGGTGGTGGGCCGGAGACAGGAGCTGGTCCAGAGACTCCTCTATGTCCTCACCTACTTCATCCGCTGCTCTGAGCTGCTGGAGACCCACATGCTGGACAGTGCTGAGGATGAGGCCATCGTCATGCCCGGTTCCCTTATCACCACCTCCCTAAGGAAAGGAGAGGTGGAGGAGTCGGACTATGTCCTTGTTACTGTCCATAAACCCAGTGAGGACTACTTGTCCCAAGGTGCCCATGGCCGTCAGACTGAGGCAGAGGACAGTAGTTATCCTTCAGACAATAGCCTCCAGAGCAGCACATATACAGATGCTGAGGTGGAGCATGGCGCTGGGAATACACCCAAGGAGGAAGATGAGGATGAGGAAGACGAGGAGGACAGCAGCGAGAGTCAAGGGTCTAGAAGCAGTGTGCTTCAGACGGGACACAGTCAGGGCACAATTCCCATTATCAGGACTGCAGAAGCAGCTGAACCTGGGGAGCTGCGCAGGGAGTCTAGCAGCCCGCTTGGTACAGAGGCACGAGTGGAGACAGTGCTGCGTGTTGGCTCGGCTTCCCCCAGGGAGCAGGTCTGTGTGCTGGATACAGAGACCAAAGGTGACCTGAAACTTATTGTCCCATCCATACCCACAACCCTTGCATCAAGTCCGTCCCCACCTCCCACCACAGAGCGTAAAAACTCTTGGACAGATGCTGGGATGGATGCAGGGATGGGGAACCAGGCCACCAAAGTGCTGGTTCCTCGGTCTTTGGGAATCCCTCTAGAGAAGAAGCCCCCAGATAAGAACCTGGCCGCCACAGTGCCAATGCCAGTAATAACGGGAAACACCATGACAGGGCCCATGGCTTTGACTCTAACAGAAGAGGAGGAGCCAGCAACGAAAGTCACTTTCCTAATTGGAGACTCCATGTCTCCTGACTCGGACACGGAGAGCCGCAGAAGGAAGGTGGAGGAGGAGATTAAAAAGCACAAGAAACACCTCAAGGACAAACTTCACCCGCAGCTGCTCTTGCATCAGCAACAACAGCATCATCAGCGTTATCAACAGCAACCACAGCAGCTGCAGAGAGGAGCAGATTCAAAGACCAGCAACACCAGTGCATCAGAGGACCAAACCAAACAGACCAAGGTGGCTCCAGCCCTGCAGCGGGTATCTAGTAAGATGCCCCAGTGGAGCCCAAACTGTATGGATGATTTTGATGAGTATTTCAGCTTGGAGAACCCCGTGGAGACAAGGACAATAGACGATATGGCCAAACGTCAGGAAGCCACTACCACGGACAGTATGCACAAAGACTTGCTGGACCCCTCGGGAGGCCCCCGGCCTGGTGACTTGGGCAGTCACAGCTTTCAGGGTGGAGTGAGGAGTCAGGGTTTGGGTCTCTGTTTAGGTTCAGGTAGAGGAGAGGTGGGGTCCAGCAGGAAGGGAGACACCTTGTTGGATGTCCAGAGGAGATGCAGGTGTGGGTCTACAGACTCCTCCGACACATGTTGCTGTAGGGGCTGTTCTGTTGAGCAGGATAAGGGCCTTGTGTTGTCAGTCCTCGTGGATGGAAGCAGCAACAGCAAAGAGGACCAAAAACGCAAGGTGGTTCCTGTCAACGACTGGGAGATACCACGCAATGAGAGCTCAGACAGCGCGTTGGGGGACAGTGAGAGTGAGGAGACAGAGGACTGGCAGGAGGAAGTGCTCGTGCCCTTCCCTGGGTGAGTAGAGGAGCTGCACTGTTATGAAGTGGAATTCAGTATTTATATCAAGTGCTTTGGTTGTAACCAGTAATATCATAGTAATATGATAGTAATTGCAGGGGATATGTGAGAATAACATTTTATATTCATCGTTTTGAAAACAAAAAAATAAATAACTCATGTCATATGTTTGATTTACAGAGCAAAGTTGGTGGAGAACTATTCAAAGCCAAGCATAGCCAATTTTGGTCGGTCTCTGTTTGGAGGCTACTGCCCCACCTACGTGCCAGACTTTGTACTGCATGGGATGCCTAGTGACGAGAAACTACGGCAGAGCCTCATGGCTGAATTAACCCATGCTGTTCAGGTAAGTATTTGGACCTATTCTTAGGGAGATATACTTTCTCATTGCAATATAGAACACAGAATTTTGAGTATTGCCATACCCTTTTTAGAGCCATGAAATTATATTCCTTACATACACACATAGATACATACACATGTAAGGAATCTGTGTTTTCCTTTATGTATGCATTTCATGGTTTGATTGACTGTTCTTGTCCTCTATAGCATCCAGTATTGGATGAGCCCATAGCGGAGGCCGTCTGCATTATAGCAGACACAGACAAGTGGACAGTGCAGGTGGCCAGCAGTCAGAGACGAGCAACCGATGTCAACAAGCTGGGGAAGGAAGTCCTGGTGTCCAGCCTGGTTTCCAGCTTGTTGCAGTCCACTCACCAGCTCTACAAACTCAACCTCTCACCCAACTTTGTAGGTTACACCTCTCAGTGTTGGTGCTGTAATGTGACACAGAAAGACTTTCTGTTTTAACCACTGATCATTTGCCTGTATACAGTGATCACTTTGTTTCTTCTGCTTTACCAACCATACCCCTGTCTCTCTCCTCCTCCTCTTCAGTGTATAATGCACCTTGAGGACCGCCTGCAGGAAATCTACTTTAAGAGTAAGATGCTTGCTGAGTATTTGAAGGGCCAGACGAGAGTCCATGTGAAAGAACTGGGCATGGTCTTAGGGTAAGTAGTCAACTTTTATTCTAATGTCACAGGTGCTGAATAGCTCTACCTCAAAGTGATGAGTTCATTACATAATGAAAAACCTATCTCTAGTAATCTGGAGAAAGAGTCGAGGACACCAGATGAATCTATAGAACAAGTTTAAGCTGAGTTATCTGGAGCTGGAGCTCTATTCAAAGTACAAACAACAATTGAAATTTAAGTAAATTTGCCAGGCAAATCTTTAGACCAGATACGTGGATTCAGTCCAAGTCAGATCTGTAGCTGCATCTGTGCTGCAAAAAATAATGTCACACATTTACTCTTTTAGGTGGTAAACAAATACCACATTCAGTGCAACGTGAAGTCACAGTGACCATTGCCTCAGGGTTTATGGCCAGAGAAGAGTTATGTTGAATTGATCTTATGTCATTTTCATTTTGGTACTTCAATACCGTGTTCTGATCTTTGCTCTTGTTTCTTGTTTCTGCTTTTTGCAGAATCGAGTCCAGCGACCTTCCCCTGTTAGCTGCAGTGGCCAGCACTCACTCCCCCTATGTGGCTCAGATCCTGCTATGAGACTGTAAAGACACTGAGGTCCCAAGCAGCCCGAGGAAATCAGTCAGACCTGGGTGGTGCCACTCAAAAAACGGCCGTCCACGCTCCGCAGCTGACCCCCGACATGGTTTCCTGTCCCGTGTGCCTGGGCTCAGTGGGATCTTTGCCTTGAGCCTGAGTGGTGCACGTCTTTACGGACCACAGCCAGCACCACCCCTCACTACCACTGCTGCTGAATTTGGTGCAATGCTGATGTTGCACCACAGGGTGGGGCTAGAGACCACAGACCTAGAGATGGAGTGAGGCTCTGTGGATGACTGAAGCATCCCTCAAATGACCTTCTCCTGTTGTTTGAATGTTTCTTTTTAAAACAGGACTTGTTTATTTTTGGACACAAAAGCCAAAGACTTTATTCATTTTCCCAGGTGAGAATGAAATTTTAAGATATCGACAGTACATTAACAATGAATTTTGTTTTTTCAACTGCTTTTTTCTGTACAATCTTAAACCCAGTCGTACAAAGTGAAGGACTACATGTTCAAAGGAAACAGATGGACATTTTTAAACTTTACTTTGAGGTAAATATCATTGAGAACATTTATCAATCTCATGCCAATTATGTTATGTTGTTTATCTTCATGTTTTTGTTTACAAGCCAAATTTCCCTGAGATATCTCAACAAATCTGACAAATTTAATTTCTTTTTTGTCAAATTGCAATGCACACCTGACTTTAAAGCCTATGTTTTTGTGGCAGAGGTGGTAATCGATGCACACCATGATTTTTAGTTCAACAAACTGGTTTTGAAATGGCTAAAAGTGGCTTTGACATTCTTATCATAGGTACAGCACTACCTCAGATCTTCATATGGGCAGTGGATGACACACACATTTACAGCTGCCCCATAGAAAACCCTGAGGTATACTTTTTAAGCTATTTTAATCAGAGGAATGTCAGCGTAAACTGTGTGCAGACTCTATGCTGTGTTCTTTGAAAAAGGGAAGGCTGTTTAATTCTTTAGGATGATCGTTACAAAAAAAATGGAGGAAAAACATATTTTTGCGTCAGATTGTGATTAAGAAGGGTTCCTTTCTACTGTGGAAAAGCTAAAACATGCACCATCTATGTATATTTTAAAACTAAATGCTGAAATATTTTCACACTTTTATAGCTTTGCCACCTTTATACCATGTTTACGGCTTCGATGTTTGCTGCAGAGGGAGGAGAGAGAGGAGGAACACAGTAGGCCTTATAGTGGATATGTATGTATCAGTTAACACTACTGTATTTTCAGAGATGTTTCTATGACAGTTATACTCACAAAAACACACAAAATGCAAAATACAAAACTATGGTAGCACACTTTTATCTTGTTTTCCTTTTGATTTTCCATTACATTGACAGGTAAATGATTTTGGCTGTTACGCCATATACCCAGGGTGCGATTTGCTGAGTGTAAAGAGTTGGTTTCCCAGCTTCTGCTTTTGGATTCTCTCCTGGGCATAAAGTGTAACCTGCAGCGGGGCCAAGGGGCATTATTTCATTATTCTCAATATTACTTTTTTGTCGTCTCTTGACAGCATTGGGAATTAATCTATATTTTCTCTGTTTTATTGCAGACGAAATAGGGTGAGTCAAAAATTTCCCAAAGAATGACTGCATCATTTATAATAAACAGTCAAAAGCAGAGAGGAGTTTCAGATAAATGCACATCCATACTGTCTTTTACCACTGTACCTCTGTGCTGCAAATTTACCTTCATGCCAAGGGAATTGCAAGGCAGAGGAACAAAGTAGTGTGGTGTCTGGTAACTTTATTTGAAGCTCCGTATTGTCTACCATTAAGGTGACAAATCCCCAATTGTGGCTCAGGTTTGTGTGTTTTATAACAGAGCTTGTTGATTGGCTTTATGTTCAACTGTACACTGTGAATAACTGGCAGTGTAACCCTGAGAACTGGACAGTGTTTGTCTCTTTCTATAAAGTCAAATCGCACCCTGAATATGACCCAAGTCTTAATGGAGAAGTGGCATGAATGCATCACAGGCTTCTGGAGAGCTCCTTTTGCTGGTAAAATTGATACATGCTTGTTATTGTATTGAACATGCTCAGCTATATCAGCCTACGTTTTGTACAACCCAGCCATTATGTTTAAAAGGTATGAATTTATATCTGCTTTTCCCTCTTTGTATATGAATAAATTATTTAGTTGCTCTTGGTATGTGTAACAGTTCACATAAACTGTACATATTCAGTTTATTTCCATGCATTTGTACAGAATGTCTTTTAAGAACTGTCTCCTCAAATTATTTTTCCCAATTTTATGGGAATGTTGTGCAATAAAGATGCCGATGTTGAGAATTTATGTGTCTGTGGGAATGTTTTATGTCACAGAATCAAAGGGAAAGGAGGGAAAAAAATTCTGGAAAAGTTAAATATTGGATGTGTGAATATAAAATAGTTTTCCCAAAACGGAATACCGGAGATCCAAGAGCTATAATTCAAATCCAGGAATTTCATAAAGAGAGAGAGAAAAAAACCCCTCTGTAGTTCTGTACTGACAGTATGTACACATAATGAAATTACCCACAGAACTGAGCTGTAGATATGACCACATATTGCTTGTTTAGAAGATATTGCATTAAAGCAACATTACAAACAAGCTTTATGTGAAACCACAGGCCTGGCTCTGATACAATGAAGCAGCTCCAGGCTCTTGTGTCTTCACATCTCAGATTAGCAGCTGTGGTTCCTTCTCTCTTCTCCCACAAACACTGAATAAACTCTCCCAAGATTGTATAATTGTCGCGTGTGAAATGGTTTTAGGCTTGCGGTTATCCCAGTTGGGAAGTCTTATTTTCTTTTTTCTTTACCTCCAAATTGATTTATTTACACGTTTTAATTTTATATGCAGAATAATTTACCCATTGCTATAAAATGTATTATTTTTTTTAAACAGACTGGAAAGTAGCTATAAATTAGCGCAAACTCTATGCAAGAATAGGACTTTTGTTTAGATTGGAGGTCAACCGACGTCTAATGCTCACCATCTGGATCACACATTTTACCCACCTTTGAATTTACCACCCTGAAGCTGGCTTTGACGCCACCCCACTCCACCTACTCGCAGCACAGGAGGCAAAACGGAACGAGCACCGCAGTTATGCAATAAAGAAAGGAGTGTCCTGGCTGGAGGCGTATACACTGGCAGCAAACATGAACGTGTCTTCTGTCAATGAGGACATCACTGTAATCCCACTTTTCCTCACGTGTGTGGCTATTTTAGGAGGCGATCAGAAAGTGACACTAAAACAACTGACTGCCAAGTCAAATGTTTCATCTAAATTTAAACAAACTAAAGATGCGTTGAGCAGTTGTGTTTTTGCAATAAAAAGTTTAAGTGTAAAATAAAACGCCAACATATGAGCGTCACTTTAGATTTTCTACTAAAGCAGAATACGTGAATGTCTTGAGTGAGATTCTGCTTTTAAACGCACCTACAATAAACCTGATTATTCCGCAGTTTGAACAGCAACCGTCCATGGTTGTATGAAGTGTCACAAGTCAAAAGGGAGGACCTGTGATGCATTTTAGTACTCACTTGGAAGCTCGTACGTTTGTACCTCGAAACTACTAAACGCCACTTGCAATGATGTTAGAAAACGAGACTATGCAACTTTAGATAAAGTTAACAACACAGCTTTTGTCTTGTAACTGAAAATTTGAAATAATAAGCATAAAACGCGCCCTTACACAATTCAAAACATGCAGGGGTTTTGCTTCTACAGCCTAATTGGTCTGGTATGACCAGTAGCCTTTGGTAGCTAATAATAACTAATGTTAGCAAAACTTTAGATAGATGTTGCCTTGACACTGATTAGCTAGGTTTTTATCCAAATGCAGTGAATATCTTAACCGATTTTTGAGAAAAAATGATTGCGTTTTCATTGTGATTGTGTTTCAATCTGCTACCATTATTTTAATATTAAAAATTGGTTCACTGACATAAATTCACTGATTCTCCAGTCAGATGCCATATGGCCTAACTATTACCCAGTTATGTGCCCACTCCCAAGCGCTGAAATCCAATGTTTACAAATGTAGCCATCACTTATTATGTTCATGTGACACTCATGAATCCTCATATTCCCGACAGTATATGAATGCAGCATCATCTCCACACAGATGTCGTCAACTCCGCACAAGAGGAGGGATCTAAATCTGAACTCCTGGATCTGTCTGACGGTCGCTACCGAGGTGGATATTTCCTTTAACCAAAGATGTACACACTTCAAGACAGGAGGTCCAAAAGATTTAACTTTCTGTCACTTTCTTTTTCGGACGCTCAGTAGTTGAAAGTGAAGTTGTTTAATTCTCTCCTGGAGAAGAAGGAGCTCCTGGTCGGTCCGTTTAGGAGTGAACTCCATCCATGCTCGGCTCGACGAGGACGAGATCCACGGGGATGTGATTTTGTTCAGCCCGGGTCGGCTAAAGAGCAGCTAGGAGAAGTGAGATTATCTAGGGAGGAAGTAAAAGCCCTGTGGTGGATTTGAGCCGAAGTTATGAAAATGACCGGAACCATGGAAACTTCTTTCAAACTGGCTTTGAAGAAACCGCCCTCGCTGCGGACAGCAGAGGTAAACAAAACTATCGTGTCTTTAATTAGCATTGCCTTGCTAATGTTAGCCAAAAATTAAACAAAAAGACAAAAAGTGTTGCTTCACCTCGCTGTAGGAAAATCCACTCAGCTGTCAGAGGAGTTATCATTAAGACTACTAAGTACAGTCACATATTAAATAGATACAATATACACACTGTACATGACTTAACTGTTTGTAACACTGAAAAAGTAGAGCACTTGGCTGCATGTTCAATTCAGAAATGACGCTCAAAGAGTCAAACAAAATCATACAGGACAAAGTGTATCAGAGGCTTCAGTGGTACCCAAACTGGGGTGCAGGGGCTGTAGTGGGTCCTTAGCAGGGTCTCAGGGGTCCCCATCAAAATAACTCTCCTCTCAAGACGGACTGTTTTGACCTGGAAGCTACAGAACAAACTTTTTTATAACATAAGAGCTTCAAACTAAGGACTGGCAGGTTTCGGTCCTTGGCATGGAAAAGTTTGGGGGGAAACTCTCCTACTGTACTGCATTCTGGGCCTACAAATACAGCCTTACTGAACAAAACATAACGTCACAGCTTCCCATCAGAGGGCTTATGTCAAAGCCCGGGAGATAGTTTGTGTAAACTTAAGTTTGAATGAGGCCAGTTAAATTTAATCACTGCTGCTGTGACATCCCTCCCTCCCCCTTCTCTACCTCCTCCCTACTTGAAGCTGTGGAAACACAGCTGGCTTGTCATTGCTTTAGTTACGCTCTCTGCCCAAAAATAGCTCACGCCGTACTCCCTTCCATGTTCAGCTGCTGGTAATAGTTTTGAAGTGCTAGCACTTTTCAAACACTATCAGAGTACAAAAAAATGTTTCAAAAACCAGCTAGCCTTCAGCTTTTCAGCTTTTCATGATGCTTTTGAATAGGCCCCTTTTTATGGCTCTAATCCTATGTTTGTTTGTGCGTGCATGGTAGGTAGAAAGCTTCTTTCACACCTTCATAGTGGGTTGTTGTACACACTTGAATCAACCATAAAAACTGTGTTTAGTCCACAAATATATGACACACTCATAGTGGGAAAGTGGATCTGTGATTTGGTAATCAACTACATGATAGCTAGCACTTTGATAATATAACCAAATGTAGCCTCATCCACCTGAATTCAGTAGAAAAGAGCTCTTTATGCTTGCATATCTTTTTACAGACTTTGTACACTCCCTGTTTCTCCTTGAATTTAAAACATTAACTGCACTGATATAGAAGAGGTGAAGGCAAACAAGGTGAAATGTTTCCAGGCAGTTATTCATGATTCATGAAGACATAAATAGTGGTAATGTAGCTCTCTCAAAGCATTAGGCATCTGACCATCACATACAGACAGACACAATTATTAAACCTCTCCCCACTGATGAAATCATAGCCCTTAGACAACCAAAATGCCAAGCAGTTGCTCAATAAATCAAAGCTGACTCACCATTTTAACTCAGTGTGAGAAGAAAAGACTGACAAGATGCAAATTCTCCCAAAAACCTGAAAGAAGAAGAATGGTTAAAACCTTAAAATCCTCCAAAACGTTGAACTGGAGAAATATGAAACTGATATCTTTGAAGTTTTTTGTGAGGTGTTGGTTTCAGATCACGGTGTTTGAGTATGGGTGTAGTTGTAGACTTATTCTACCTTTTTTCTACCATTGGTTGCATTGCTTTTTGACATACCACCAACTATGTTTTTGATAGGTCTGGACCTGTTTATGAGAACAGAAGTGTGGCCTCCAGATACAGATTTCAGTCTTGACTACTCAGCTCAGGCCTCTTACAGATGAACAGATGAAGGAAGTGTTAGCGTGCATGCGTTTTCTTCTCAAATTGACATTTAGGGACTTTTTGTAGTACAAAATGCAAAGTAGCTGGACTGAGTCAAGTGGCTTTGTATTCTGAATTGGAAAAGGAATAGTTCGACATTTTGGGAAATATTGCTTATTTGATTTGTGGTGGAAAATTTGTTGAAGAGATACTACTGTTTCACTGCCCCATCCATCTGCACATGCGTCTCTGTAAAATGGGGAATTGTGATTTTTATGCTTTGGTTCTAGTAGGGGTGGGTGATATGACGATATTAGATCGTGAAGGATTACAACGTGAAGACGATCTTTCAAACTGCAGAGATCGTGGGATCGTCTAGGGCACATTCTATAAATTGCAGTTCTATGCTGATGCACCAACGCACCAGACGTATTGACGTCGTCAACCTGACCGACCAATCATAGCGAATTACGGGCAGTGACGCACTTTCCTACCTGCCTCCTGTTTGTGTGTGTAGCGGTAGCACATGGAGAGCGATGGCTGAAAGCCAAACAGAGTTGGTCGCTAAAAAAAATTCCACCTCCATTATATGGAATTGGTTTGGATTTTCCGCAACTGATCAAGCGCAAGCAAATGTAATTTGCAAAGTTTGCACAGAAACCGTTCGCACGTCGGGTGGTAACACGACGAACCGGAATGTTGTTGTTATTTACCTTAAACTTTACGTTGTTTGCACATGCAGGCAAAACTGCGACTATTTGAAATAAAATCTGTTAAGAAAGGTTCTTTGGTCGAAATTGTCTGTTTTTCTTTTTCCAATTTAAGATCGTGATAAAATCGAAATCGTGATTTTATTTTTAAAAAATCGTGATGTGATATTTTTGCCATATCGCCCACCCCTAGGTTCTAGTACGTATTACGTATTATAGTACCCAATAGACAGTGGCCACTTAA